TGTCAATCACAGCACCTCACCCATGGCCACAGCAATGTCTTCACTCAACAAATATTCCTTGAGTACCTACTAGGTGGTAGGCACTACTAAAGGCCTGGGGACATAGCTATAAATGAGGCCCTTGACCTCATGGAGGTTATTTACATGTTAGCAGATGATGGATGCCAGAAAACAAATCTGTAGTAACTCAGGTGGTGATAAATACCAGGGAGAAAAATAAAGGATAAAGGAGATTGGTGTGTGTGTAGAATTTTATATAAGGTCATCAAGAGAAGGTCTCCCTGATATGTGATATTTGAGCAGAGACCTAAGAGAAATGAGGAAGCAGGCCTTGCACATACCAGGGAAGGGGACCTGGGCAGAGGGAACAGCCAGTGCAAAAGCTCCAGGCAGGGCATGCTTGGTATTTCAGGAATAGCAAAGAGAGATGGGGTATGTGGCAGAGAAGAAATGTGCTCACAGATTACACAGGGCTTTTCTTTACCTTTTAGAAGGTAATTTTCTTTCAATGACCTTCTAAAGGCATCAAGACTATGATTATTGTGCCCATGTTATGCATGAGGAAACAAGAAAACTGAAGCTGGCAGAAGTCCTCATTTTCTCACCCTGTGGATCTCTTCAAAGCATTGTCTTTATGACATGGCAGTTGGCCTTCCTCAGAGTGAGAGAAGACAAAAGCCACAGTGTGTTTTATTTAGCTAGCTTTATCTATCCTTGAGAGCCACTCTCCGTCATTTCCACAATATCCCATCAGTTGCCCAGGTTAGCCTTTTTCCATGTGGGTCTGTGTGATGGTGGTGGTGGAACTACATAAAAGCATGAATACCAGGAGATAAGGATCCTTGGGCTCTCTCTCTCCTTGCAACTTCACCATGTCACCCAAGTGTCAAGTCTTGGGCCATTCTATGAGCTCCCACTATTCTTTCTCTTCAAATTAGACAGAATGAACTTCAGAGTTTTGCAATGAAGAGCTACAGTGGCTACAAGCTCTCAGTAAATGTAAGGAGAATGGGTTCGTTGGGAGAGAATTTTCTGGGGTCTTGCATTTCTCATGTTTTGCAAGCAGAGGCACTGACTTTTATGTTTATGTAGTGAACAACCTTGGAAGATAAGAGATCATGTCTCTTCCTGGAGCAAAGAGCAGGTTTGCTTATCACCTATTATAAAACATTTGGATGCCCTAAGCTCAGGGTTTCTCTTGTAATGCAAACCACTGCATGTGCTTCTATTCAACTGGCACCATCCCAGTGGCACCTACAGGACAGTGGGAAAGGGGAGCTGACACAAATATGTTAATGGTGCTGTGCCATAAGTAATAAAGTCCTTTGTCCCTGACACAGAAGTCTTCCTCATTTTCTCACCCTGTGGATCTCTTCAAAGCATTGTCTTTATGACATGGCAGTTGGCCTTCCTCAGAGTGAGAGAAGACAAAAGCCACAGTGTGTTTTATTTAGCTAGCTTTATCTATCCTTGAGAGCCACTCTCCGTCATTTCCACAATATCCCATCAGTTGCCCAGGTTAGCCTTTTTCCATGTGGGTCTGTGTGATGGTGGTGGTGGAACTACATAAAAGCATGAATACCAGGAGATAAGGATCCTTGGGCTCTCTCTCTCCTTGCAACTTCACCATGTCACCCAAGTGTCAAGTCTTGGGCCATTCTATGAGCTCCCACTATTCTTTCTCTTCAAATTAGACAGAATGAACTTCAGAGTTTTGCAATGAAGAGCTACAGTGGCTACAAGCTCTCAGTAAATGTAAGGAGAATGGGTTCGTTGGGAGAGAATTTTCTGGGGTCTTGCATTTCTCATGTTTTGCAAGCAGAGGCACTGACTTTTATGTTTATGTAGTGAACAACCTTGGAAGATAAGAGATCATGTCTCTTCCTGGAGCAAAGAGCAGGTTTGCTTATCACCTATTATAAAACATTTGGATGCCCTAAGCTCAGGGTTTCTCTTGTAATGCAAACCACTGCATGTGCTTCTATTCAACTGGCACCATCCCAGTGGCACCTACAGGACAGTGGGAAAGGGGAGCTGACACAAATATGTTAATGGTGCTGTGCCATAAGTAATAAAGTCCTTTGTCCCTGACACAGAAGTCTCATTGTTTTTTTTGCAGCACTCATGAAACTACAGCCGGTTAACTTGCTCTCTTGCAAGAAAGTTAAAACTTCAGACCCTTCACAGTTCTTGACAGGGTTGCCTTCATATGACTAGGAGATTCCTGGAGACAGCTTCATTCTTCTTGTTCTACATTCCTCCAACTTACCTCTACCAAACTGGGAGGTGCCTGAAGGAGAAGATTCCATTCCCCTCCACCCTCAGATTTGCATGGAGACTACCTTATTTTTCCCTATTAGACTGAAGCTCTCCAGAGCTGGGTTTGCATCCTTTGACGTTCTGCACACTCCTGTCTCTGACAGCACACTCCACTGTAAGACCAGGAAGAGTTTTCTCAAGGTTCCATGATTTTACTCTCTCCTCCAGCCCCATTTCTCTCCAACTGACTCCCCCGAGCCTGCCTCTCATACACACACACACACACACACACATACACCATTGAGTAGTCACACCTGATTCTTGCCTGAGCCCTGCTTCCTGCTTCCTTCTGGACTTGACACCACTTTTTCTGTCCCTTGGAGCTAAGGCAATGAGCTGGAAGTAGGTGGGGTGGGGAGCAGGGATGAGGAATGATAGAGACAGGACAGAAAGGGAAGGAGAGAAAACTGATATAAAAAGACACAATGCTTTGAGTGCTTTCTGTGGGTCAGGTAAAGTCTTGTACTATACTATTATCCCTGATAAATACAGATGAAGAGACTGAAGGTCAGAGATAATGTGCTGAAAATCAGGTAGCTTTTATATTTATGTGGTAGAGACTGGATTTGAACCCAGTCTGCTGAGCACCAAAGCCATCCTCTATTCCCCTTTAATGCCTTCCCAAGAGGGAAGATAGGGGAAACCTGGGTTCTGAGTGCTTTTGGAGGCTCTAGAAAAGGCAGTTTTGTTCCATGGTGGAGCCTTATGGGCAGGTGAGGTTCTAACCCCCACCCCCCTTGTGATGCAACAGAGGGCCCTAAAGACCAGACCAAGTTCTACAGTTTCTGGGAACTCCCTCTCATCTCAACCCCTGGCCAGGGAAACAGGACAGCACAGCCTTGGGAAAAATGGATAAGCTTGGTGAGTGGATCTGGAGGCAGGGTGGGGCTGGAGAACAGGGCTTCTTGCCTCCTGTGTGGAACAACCAGCCCATTGCCATGACAACCCCAGAGTAGAAGTCCAGCCTTTTCTCAATTACCCATCCAAGCTCTCTCTTCTTTCTTTCCTGAACTTCTTGATGTCTGCCCCTTCATCTTCAAGTGCTGCTGTTCAGACCTTTGTCTTCTTGGCCTGGAAGGACTGTAATGGCTCCAAAGTGGGTCTTCTCCTGTCCTATCAGAGTGAACATCCTCTGAGCATGTCCCTCCATCAGAACATTTAGTGGCTCCCCACTGCTGAAGGATAAAGTCCAAATTCTACAGCCTGGCACCCAAAGTCCCAACCTTCCTTTCCAGCCTTGCTGCCTATTCCCCCTCCTCCCCAAATGTTCCCAGCACCCCTTTCTGGCTGTGTACTAGTTCTGGCCTTTCACAACCAGAAGGCTCCTTAATGTGTTTTCCTAAATGAAAGAGCAGGATGATAGATAGTGACTGCAAGGGTGTGGGGGTGTGGGGGGATTTGATGGTATGGGTGATGTTGAGACCACAGTGTTGCTCATGTGAATCCTTCATAAGATTGTATATCCATGATACCTTAATTTATAAAAAAATGGAAGAGCAGGAGACCCTGGTTCTCTACCTTTAGCAATACCAAGAACTGGCAGAATCTTTGAAATAACTTTTCTCGAAAGATTTCAAAAAGTCTTGGATGAAATTCAGAGGCCCCTCTGTAACCTGAAAGCATTGTGAAGATGAAGGGGCACGGTGTCTGAAGAGTTCAGCATGGTGATTGTATGCAGTTGGTGCTCAATACATGTAGGCTAGATCATTAATTTTATTATTCCCCTTTGCCCCCAGCCTCTGTAAACAGGATGGGTAAGGATCTGTAGAAATTTTTTTTGCTTTTCCGGGGCAAACTTCAGGAGTTGTGTTTTCCCTGCCCTCCTCCCCCTTCTTTTGGTTACAAGTCCAGCTCCTCAGATCCAGCAGACAGCAGAGCACATGTGGTGCTGTGTGAGTGTTTGCTGAATGAGTGGTAGACACCTCCCGGTCAAGGCCAAGTTACTTTCCTTAGCCCAGGAACTTCCTGCCTGCCAGGACTACTGCTTGGAACTGTGGAGTTTGTGTCCTGAACAAAGGCATTCGCAGGAGAGGACAGTGGTGGCTTAACTCTAGCTGGCAATTGGGGTCAAGCTTGGAAGGAGGAAGAGACACCTTTTCCTAATTGGTCTGCCCATTGGGGGACAGGGGGACTGAGCGGGGCATTTTCTATTTAGTCTGCCCATAAGGGGCACTTTCTCTGATTGTTTTGCCCACCTGCCTGCCCACCAGGCCACAGGTGATGCTGGGTTTCTGTAAGGCAAGGACGGTATTGAAGAAGGAAATCGCTTGCAGAAAACAAAGTATAAACAGCTACCTACTAAAGTTCCAATCAGCGCCCTTAATAGTTATTGACAGCCTACACAGAGATCAGTACCCACCCTTGGGTCACTTAGCAGGAAGGTGGCGTGTGCTATCATATCCTCCAGGTGTGCAAAGCTGTTTGCTACTTCCTGTTGATTGCTTCTCTCGCGAGAAGCCCTGGGCTGGGCGCTTTACTCAGATGTGGTCTGATATCTGCCTCACTATAACCCTTGAGATAGGCACTACTTCTTCCCATTTTACAGGTGGGGAGACTGAACTTGGCAGAAGCGACAGGACTTGCCCCTAATCCTCACCTAGGAAGTACAGAAACCTGGGAAATCGGGGACAGCCAGGCAGGCCCTCCCGCGCGCAGAAATTTTGTACACTCTGTAACCACTCTTGGACTCCTGCTGGCCCGGTATAATTCGTACGCACCGTCCTTCCAGCACCTGCCTTTTGGGGAGTCGGGTTGTAGGCACACTCAGGGTACCCGGGCTCTTCACTGCGGACAGTGGGCCTGCACTAATCCCCTCCGGCCTCTCCACCCCCGCAGGCGTGAAGACCCCCTTGTGGAAGAAGGAACTGGAGGAGCCCGGGGCCGGGGAGGTGGAGGCAGAGGAGGTGGAGGAAGGGACGGAGGAGGAAGACGAGAGGCCGCAGGAGGAGAGCACCGCAGGGCGCGAGTCGGAGCGGGAGTCGGAGCGCGATTCGGAGCGCGATTCGGAGGGCGAGTCGGAGCGCGAGGCGGCGCGCGGCGCGCGGGGCTCGGTGTCTCACGGCCCGCTGCGCCAAGAGTCCAACACCCAGCAGGTGGCGCTGCTACGGCGCGCGGACAGCGGCTTCTGGGCTTGGCTCAGTCCCCTCGTGCTGCTCGGCGGCCTGGCGGCTCTCGCCGACAGGTGAGGGCGCGTCCCCAGGTCCCGGCAGGATGCGCGGGTGCTGCCGCTCCAGGCTGGAGGAGACCCCGGGGTGCACTGATCGCCCTGGTCCCCGCCCACAGGAAGCGGAGCCTCCCGGAGGAGACTTGCGTGTTGGAGACGCGGCGCCGGCCGCAGCGCGGCAGGGGCTGTGCGCGCTGCGAGATCCTTTTCTGCAAGAAATGCAAGAACCTGCACAGCCACCGGGCCTACGTGGCGCACTGCATTCTGGAGCACCCAGATTTGGGTGAGAAGGGGACTTCGGGTAGAGCAGGGCCTGCCCGGGACCCCTGAGTGTCCCCACTTCCAGCGTTTGGGCCCTCCATCCTCGCTTGATCCTGACCTCCCCTAAAACTCCTCTCCCCTGACGCGGAGAGCTCTCCAGCACATCTCACAGAACTGCCCCTTCCCAGAGTCGCCCTTCTGTAGTTCTCCCCTCCAAGCAGGCAAGAGTGCCCACGGTGGATGAGGCGTTCCCACCTGTAATCCATAGCCCAGCCAATGCAGAACCCAACATCGCCTGGAGCTACATTCCTCCAGAGTGCCTCCCGAGGGCTCACGTCAGAGCAGCGCCCAGTGCCTGCTGCCCACCTGACTTGTGACCCCTGACACAGCCTCACATTCATCCCTTGGGTCTTTCAGATACTTCTGGCCAGGTGGGCAGAAACAACGCCTAGAGAAAAGAACCCCAGGGGACGCTTCCTGAGAAAACCGCCCCTTCCCCTCAAATCATTCAATAAAGCCTCTGATCCAAGTGTCAGTGCCTTGAAGTTGGGGTTGCTCCGCAGAAGGGGGGAAGATCGACCCTCTCACACCTTCCCCTTCTCCAGAGTTCAAGCCAGAGGGAAAAGGGCAGGCCGAGAGGCTCCTTGTTCCACTTCCCCCAGGTTAGGACGGAACAAAGCACTTGCATCCAGGGGTAGTGAATGGCCATTCTCCTCACTGCTCAGAGAACATGAAGGCCCAGGGCCAGGAATGCCCCGGGGGAGCCCAGCACTGACCCTTGCCATACCACTCTCCCCTCCGCCTCAAAGCTGGGTGGAGCTGAGGTCAGTGTGTGCACTAATGAGGCACTGGCAGGGGTGGAGTGGGGAGGTCAAGAGAACCAGATGCTAAAATGCTGAGACTGGCCAGAGGCAGGAGCTGGGGAAACTGAGGAGCTGGTTCCTTCTCCAGGAATCCCAGCTATTCTTGGCCAGCCAGCAGAAGCTTCTGGAATGCTGTGTGTGTGGCCTGGAGAATGGGGCCATTGTGAGCACCAGGACACCCCCAGCCTGCAGAGCCCCCAGTGCCTGCAGCAGTACAGATCTCCAGACAGGCCCTGTCCTCTCCCTGCTACACATGGTTCTGATTAGCCAGAGGGGTGACGGTGGGCAAGGACATTTTGCTTTTTGAGGACAGGCAGCCCTACCCCCACCCCCATCACAACTATACACACACACACAGCTTGCTGGTTTTGGCTTCGATGGAAGAACATTGTTTCAGCCTCACCATTTTCCATGCCCACCTGCTCTCCCTGGAAACCAGTTCAAGGAAGGCCAATTCCCACCTTCGGGCCCACCAGCTGGGGCACCTCTTTATTCCAGTCACGGCCCCTGCCCCCCCAAAACAGCCAAGGCCCAGCAGGCTTATAGCAGTCTCCCTCTTGCTCTATGTCCTGACCCACCTCAGGCTCTCTTGAGATTGGAGACCCATGTACCCAACCCATCCAAGCTTCTGGTGGGTGGGGCCTCAGAATAAATAAGACCCAATTTGCCGAGGACTGATTGAAGGGGGCAGTCTTGCAAAGGGCCCCCAACCTCTCTGTTGAGTTTTTCATCCTCCCTGCTGCCTCCTGGATAGGAACTGCACTGTTAGTGGAAAAAACAAAGTCCCCAAGGTTTGGGGAGGAAAGAGCCTTGGGGAAAGGGCCCCAGGATCTGGGTCCCTGTTTGGCTTCTCCTTAGACTGAGCCCACAAAAATTGATGTCTTGAGAAAATGAAGACATTCTCCAGGGAACACACGTAGACAAAGTCCTGCATGGGTCTTCTGCCCCTGGGGCAGGGGATACAGGTTGGTCCTGAGGGCACCGCTGGTTCACAAGGAGGTGGGAGCATCCTCAGAACAGGGCACCCCCTGAGTTGGCGTGCCAGCAGCCCATCCAGGGCAGTTCTGTGGCCCAGCGGCCCGAGGCTGTTGCCCGCAGTTTGGCCTGGTCGAGGTGCCAGTATTGGTCATCTCTGAAGAAGATGATGGAGCCATCGGGCCGTGGCAGGGCACCACTGACCTCCTCAGGGACACCACCCCAGTCCTGCAGGCCTCGAGGGTAGTAAGGCTCCACCTGCAGGCCCCCTCGGGCCAGCACGTAGTAGCGAGCACCCTTGAAGAGGATGAGGCGGCTCAGAGGAGGGAAGAAGAGGGCTGCATCGGGATGGCGGGGCAGGCCGCCTGCCCGGCACTGCTGTGGTGAGCGCTGCACTGGCTTGTGGCCCTGGAACCTCCAGCATCGACTCCCTGTGGGGATTGGGAGAGCTGGGGTGAGCTGGCAGCTCTCACCCTTGGTCTTGCCCCCACCTCTGTCTCCCTGTTCCCCTTCTCCCCCTCATGTTGGAGCCCACCGTGGTTAGTATTCGTGATAATGAAAATGGATCATACAGTACTAACTAGTTATGAACCAGTAGAGGTGGGACTATTGTGACCTAGACTTTCAGCAGTGTCAGAGAGAGCAGATAGCTATGAAGGAAGCTCTCCACCCAAGTGGGAGGCAGGCCCCCTTCCTGGGTGAGGAAGGCTGGTGGCTTTCTTTACTACCATTACTACCAACAGTTCTATGAGAACTAACAGTTCTATTTTTGGTTGGTTCGCTGCCCTATCCCAACACCTCCAACCAGGTCTAGTGCAGAGAAGGCACTCAGTGATTGTTGAATGAATGAATGCTCAGTACGACTCAATGACTCAAGTAATATACTGCACAGTCCTCAGACATCATGTTGTTTTAATCCTCCTCTTCCAGCAAAACTGAGGGATTATTTTCCCCATTCAAGAAATTCAGGCTGCAAGAGTTAAGTGAGATGCTCAAGGATTCCACGGAAGGTATCACTTGCCAGTGAACTGCAGAGCACAGGAGTGACCCACAGCAGTGTGTCCTTTCTGTGCTTCCCTCTAACTCTTCTCTGAAACTCTCCCACACTCTCTCTCTGGGACCCTGTGCCAGGGCCACTTGACACCTGTGTCATTTAATCTATCACTAAAGGGCTCTCCTGCTAGAGTTCCTGGGGATACAGGTTCAGGCTGGAATTGAGACTCCTCCTCCCTTTTGGCCTAAGGCAGGTGGCCGCTTTGCTCTAGGCCTCAAGTGTCTCATCCACCCCAGGACTGGTACCTTTGAAGAAGTAGAAGTCTCCGTCCTCCAAGGATACTGCGGCGGCCTCAATGTTGGGGGGCAGCCCAGCCCACCTTTCCTGTAGTGGGCGGGGCTCTGAGACGTTGCCATCAGCTGCCACCTCCCAGAAGTGGCTCCCTTGAAAAATGTACAGTTGCTGTTGTCCATCTGCCGAAGACGAGAGTTGAGGAGTGACCGCGAGCCTCCTGCCTGCTTTCCAGCAAAGGTGCTTCCTAGAACCCAGCTTCTCAAACTGAGAGGGGCGGTAGTGTGCACAGTCAGGGTGCAGGGGAAGGCATGCAGGAGGAAGCAGTGTTTTACTTGGTGAGGGCTGGCTACCCTGCAGAATGTCTGTGGCTTGGGATGCCTGGATTTTATGTCATTTCCCACCCTTATACTCCAGCTCTGCAGACCCCTGGAGATGTCAGGGAGGAGAGAAGGAAGCGAGGCATGGGTGGGACCATCTTACCGACAGTGATGGCATCAAAGTAAGAGTGGCAATATTTAGGACCCTGGGTTTCGGGGCGCCTTCCCTGGGCTCTGTGGGGGTCCCAGGCCTCAAAGTCAGTGAACAGCTTTCCCGGGAGCTGGATAGGCACCGAGTCCCTCTGGGGCTTCCCTTCATGGGGAAGGAGAGAAGAGGGAGAGAATGCGTACTGTTTGGGGGTGTTGAGGGCTTACGACCTCCTCCTTGCTTCCCTTCATCATTATCTGATGTGAGGGGCAGGAAAGGAGAGTTGGGGACATGGGGGTAAGAGTTGCCCTTGGTTGTTGGTGTTCATTAACCATAGCACTAAACTCAGAAGTCCCCTGTCCTACCAAGTAATCTGGGAAAGAGGAGCCCACTGAGATAAACTTGGGAGTGGGGGACCAAACAAGGATTTGCAACTAAGAAGAGGAGAGTGTGCTCTTCCCTGAGTCCTGGACAAGGCAGATGCTGCAAGGCAGAGCTCAAGGGCCCAGGCTGGGGTAATTACAGCTATTATAATTACTACATCACCATATTTCCCTTAGGAGAGTGAGGCAGAGTCCACCCAGCTTAGAATCTGGCACCAGTCCTGAATCTTGATCTGCAGCTTCATAGCTGTGTGACCTTTTCTCAGAAGGCTAAACTGAGGGCTCTCAATATTTTGCTAATCAGGGATGGAGCAGTGACTTGAATCCAGGGCCCCTGCCCCGCCCACACCACCAAGCCCTCTGATGGAGACAGAGTGCTGGCTCTGGCAGGTCTGGGTCCGGCCCGTCCTTGGGCAGCAGCCCTGGCCAGTTCATTCTGGGGGAGGAGACCTTGATTGAGTCCACCTCCAGGCAGAGACCCAGGCTAGCGGGGACGTGGGCATCAGCATCAAGGAGGACAAGACGGTGAGAAAGCAAGCAGAGCTGGGAGCAGGAATGAGGGTTCTGGGGTCTGGGATGAGGCCAGTGGTGGGACCAAGGGTCGAGTCTGGGTGGTGAGGCAGGGATGTGAGACGAACTGCCGAGGCCAGAGGCTGGGCAGGAATCAGGAACTGGAACTCAGAGGACGGTTGTGCACAGGAACTGGTTGGGATTGATAGAGCCAGGCACGGGGGGGGGTGGGGGGGGGAGGTGCAGGAGCCTGAGGAATTCCAGATGATAGGACAGCCTGAGGCTTCAGGATTGGGAAGGACCGGTGACCGGGAGGCCAAATTCCCGAGCTTAGGATGGGGGTCGTATTTGAAGGCCCGGGGTTGGGGCAAGCATGGGACCAGTGGCAGCGCGGCTGGGGGGCTCACCATAGAGGCTCTGCACGGCCAGCACGTCGTCCCAGCTGAGCAGCGCGTCGCGGCCCAGCCTCTTGTAGTAGGGCGCCATGAGCGCGCGCGGCGCCGGCGAGTGGGGCAGGCCGAGCGTATGGCCGATCTCGTGCGCCAGCACCACGAACAGGTTGCGCCCGCGGCGGCGATTCAGGGACCAGTGCTCGTCGCGGTCGAAGTGCGCTTCGCCGCGGCGGGGCAGGAAGGCGTGCGCCAGGGCGCCCCCTGCAGGCGGCACAGCGGGTCAGGGGTAGCTCACCGCCGGCCCAAGTCCCCACCCTCCCGCGCAAATGCCATTGGGGTATGTGTGGCTGTTTTCTGCTGCGCAATTTCCCTTCTAACTCGCAGAAGTCTCATAGAAGCTGGACTGTAGAGCAGTGAACAGGTGACTAGGCTTTGACGTATGGAAGCCTAAGAGGCAGCGCACTGTACAGACAGCATGGGGCCAAAGCCCAGGTTCCACTCCTGGTTTTACCATTTCCTAGCTGTGTGACCTTGTGCAAGTAGCTTAACCCCTCCGTGTCTTCACTTCCTGATCTGAAAATGGGAATGATGATAATGAGACTCTTTCTCGTGGGGTTGTTCTGAGGATTAAAAAGGGGTGGCATATGTGCATGTTACATGTAATACTTAGTGCCTAGCATATAATAAATCTACATAAAATTATTTTAAAAAAGACCTAGGTGGCCCTTCTGTGAGTCTCTACCTGCTTGCCCCTAATATTAGTGAGCAGGGGGAGTTGGGCTAGATCAGTGATCCTCAAGCTTGTAGTGTGAGATAGAGCTTATAGATCGTGCAGTATCTAGTGCCACTGCACACAGTTCACTTTCTGCAAGGTCAGAAAACTGCACCATGACA